TATTCAGGTGCCCAAACGTGGACTCAGATGCCTCACTTGGGGTACTCAAGTTTGAAAATTTTGGCCCTGATCCCCATCGCTCCTTGAGGATTCATGGTAAAAATACCCCAGGATATTACACAGGCACAACTAGTGCAGCAGCCCAAAATAATGAATCCTCCATCCCCCTCTGCAGACACATTGCTGTGAAGATGTGTGATCCTAGATACAGAAGCCTCATATGGGCAATACTGAAAACTACGAAGCCCAATGCATTCTTCCCCGCCCCTTTGCCCAGAGGCAAAGACTGAAGGATAAATTCTAGAGAAGGCTTATGCAAGGAATCATCTGTTAGAGACAAGGCTGGCAGACTTATGGAGGGGAGGAGAAGGAAAGAATTTGTTCATTTTGGCCCGTAGGAAGCAGCAGCAAAGGGTACCTGGAAGAATCAGAGCAGCCAACAGGAGGTGACAGAATAGTAGCAAGAAGAGCTTCCTTTTTCAGAGGATGGCTCAGTCTCACTGCACCACAGCGGGAACTTCTGCCTGTAATTCTATGCTTAAAGCTTCTGTCTCTTCCTCTCTATTGATCTTCATGACACTACCCTGATATAAACAGTGATACTGAAGAAACAGAGGAAGTAGGATAGGGGAGGGCAGGGCAAGCAAATTTGCCTCCAAAATGTATCTGAATTTCAGAAGTATGAATATATTGAGACATTCAGGATACAGCCATAAGAAAGCAGGAGAATATGAAGGGAAAGGTAGCAGTAAAGTTAGTAGAGAATGAGCCTGACAGGCACGCTCTCCCCCAGGATTTCTGCCCTAGTTCATTAAGCTTTGCTCTGTGAAGTTCTATGCAGAGAATCCACTGTCCGACCCTCCCCTCCCCCAGTTGCCTTCCTCCCATAGATGACTTTCATCCAAGAGAACACAGCAAAGGGATTCTGGCCTTTCTATCAGCAAAGTATAGAAAAAAAAAATCTATGATTTGTGATAAGCACATGCCAGTGATCAAAATCTCATTTTCATATAGTACAGTCAGAAGCTGGAGGAAAGATCCAGGGAATTAGAGATCCGTGTGGATTCACAGTGGTCAATATCTCAACAGCCTGGAAACGGATCTGCCTGATTAACATTGCCTGACAATCCCCATGCAACTTTAGATGTCTGGGAGGGATGGAGACCCCTCTGAACAGGGAATGAATGTGGCCAACTTGAACTTCTAAACTACAGGGGTGTGGGGAAATCTCCATTTTAAAAAAATATCCAGTGGTGAGACAAATACCATCCACTCTAAGCTCAGGTGAATACAAAGCAGAACCATTGGGTAGGTCTCAATTCCAGCAGAAGAGCACCCTTTAAGAGAAGGGAAGGAGAGAACCCAGAGAGATCAAAAGGAAAGGCAAACATAGGTGCTATAAAATAGGAAGATGATGGGCATTTTCCAGCTTTTGCTTAAGGAAGTTGGAAGCAGGTTCCTGGCTCTCCTGCTATTCCATCTGTGAGTTTGAGGCAATCCACTGGATAAAAGACCCAGTTCCTTGTTCTCCTTTCACCGCGCATTCTGCATTTAGTAATGCTAGTCTTCTACAGCAGTATTTTCACACCCATTCCGTTATATTTGCAAAGGTTATTCATGAAGTGTGACCACCAGAGGGGAAACATCTTTTCTCACTTTCTCATTTTGCAGACCACTCAGTAGGAGAGGTGGTTATATTTCTTTCACTAGCTGCCCTGCTTGATTATATCTCATTTAACTGGCTAGATATCACTGTACATTCACAGATGCAACCAGACAGGTTTTTAGAACTAACTCCTGAGAGGAGCTATATTCCGAATGGCTCAGAAATGTCTCTGTGTAGTCATGGAATACAAGCCCTTGCGGCACCAGGGAGTACAGTGATTCTGGAAACTGGGTTCTTTTGGACCATGATGCTAGGAGCTCAGGCATCCTGACCCAAGTGTACGGACACCTTCATTACAGAGGCTGTCTTCATGGTCATAAAACATGCATTTTTACACCAAGTTACTAACAGCAATTAGTTCTCTCACTGTAAAAAAAAACTTTTTTGGCAGGGAAAACATAGCCTGAAACAGAGTGCTCTTCTGCAGGGTGGGAAGAGAAAGAAGGTGGAAGCAGTATATTGACAAACACAGAACAAAATTATCTCTCTTCCCCCAGAATGATACATTGCAGAAAAAACTGACTAAGACCTCAGTTCTTGTTGACTTGATCCTTCCGTGAGTTTAAAGTTTGAGCCAATCAGCTCATGCAGTACCACTCATGTCAGAGGCACACTAACCAGAACATGTTCAATTCTCCTAGCTGAGCTCAGAAACTCATTCACAATGTTTCACTTGTTTCTACTTGTTCCGTGATACTTTAAGATCTCTCTGTACCAAGTTCTAAAATTTTTTCAGATGCCCTAATTGCTGCAATGATACTTTCCATTCCTTTGACAAGGGAGTGCTATCAGTAAGACCCCCCCCCCCTTTTTTTAAAGCAATGCTTCCTTAAGTAATGACACGATTAGTTCAGGTTGTGCCCCTTGGTTTGGCTGCTACTCCTTTTAAACTGCCCACTGGCATATATGGCATCACTATTCTCTGACAGTTTTAGTTGCTGATGATATCCCAATTGTTAGCCAGAGTATTGTAGTTACCTCCCAGGAGAACGAGCTCTCTGTTCTGTGTGGAATCGAACATTGTGAACACAGCAAAAATCACTGAAATGCAAAATAGTGGACTGAAATACTTTAGAGGGCTTTCCATCTCAAACTCCACTTCCTGCTGGACAGGTAGATCTGTCCTTGTCTGAACAGTCAAGATCAGGGGAATCAGACTCTTGGGCACCAAAAGGGGCAACGACAGAAATCTGGGTTAGTCTGTATTGTTCAGATTCCTCTCACCAGAGTGGGCTGGTGCTGAAATACCAGTTGGCCCTGGTCACATTGGTGGAGGAATAACAATACACAAATCATCTATTCCACTTGAATGACACTATCACCTTCAGTAGATCAGTGGTAGTGCTGAGGCCTTTCCTAACAGGTCATCAAAGTTTCTCGGTAAGTTCAGGGTGCAATATGACAGTGCTGATAACTGAGATAATGCTCACTCTGTCAAGGGGCACCAGTTCACTACCACCAATGTATGATAAAGTTATTTTGCCCTATTTAAACTAAATGAATACAATTAAGTTTCCTTCTTCAGTTCCTCTGGGCAAGAGGCACAATAGGCAAACTAAGAAAAAGCAGCGCACCAGCCATATGTAATAAGCCATATGATTGGCTAAAGAAAGAAAAATTATTTAACAGCAGCTGAGCAGGGATTCCTAGCATCTGATTGCTAGAAATGTAAATTCAAAACAAGGGACAGAAGTCAAAAATGGCTCCTCTTTAGTTGAGGGTGTGAATCTGCCACTTGGAGTCTGAACAATAACTGTATATGGCTACCTACTGGCACTGCCAAAGAACTAAGAGAGTACTTGGAATACATGGAAGAGTGGTTAAAAACAAGGACGCAGAGCAGCAGAAAAAGTGTCCATGCCCCATCCGAAAAGGATGCAAAGTCTTCAACAGTCCCTGCTGTAAAGTCGAGCCTTGGGGTAAGGACAGGATTAAAGGGAATTGAAGCAGCTTCCCCCAGTCCCTGGTGTTAACCTTACATGCAATAGAGCAAGGACAAATAAGCTTTTATTAATATTAAACACTGAAGCTTTCTGCAAGCATTAATGCCTGCAGTGGTGTAGGGCATGGCCCTCAAACACTCATGTTGCTCTCGTCTAAGAGGTTGGTGGTGGTATCAAAATATACAAACCTTATCAAGCTGGCCTTATCATTTCTACTGAAATTGCTAAGCAGTACGATGTCCTTAAACCCTAGCCTGCTGAGTATGATCACTCACACTCCAGTGCAAGGCTGACCTACCACTTAACTGGTTTTAGACTACACTGAGGAGAGGGTGTAAAAGACAGGCAACAAACAAAGCAACCTGAAGGTGTGCTCAGGAAGTGACTGGTAGAGAACACTTTGCCAAAGCCTGGCAAAACATATAAAATAAAATGTCATTAAAGACTTCAAATTTAATACCAACTTCCCTACCCTCTGGACACACACAACCACCTCCTTGCCCCACAGCAAACTGGGTCAGGGGTGCCAATTCTCTGAAGCGTAGCCACCTATGAACCAAAACATGTAACAAACCCTCCTCCCACACATGCAAAAGATCATGTCCTCATCTCGTCCACTTTTATTTTTGCTGTAGTTAGCTGAAGCGGAACAATGGAAAAGCTCCCTATTTAACAGGGGTGCACAGTATTCTAACCTTATCTCATGAAGATTAAGGCTTTGAAAAAACAGTTCTTAACCTAAACACCAACCCCCCTTTTTTTGCCTGGGTGTTTCGCCTTGTGGCAAGATTTATTACAACTCTCCTTTAAAACAGAATCATTTGCACTATCTTTGCACGGCCACGTGGAAAGATGAGCATGAACTGGTACGTGAAACATGCTCAGGCTTCTGAAGCAACAGCAGCAGCAACTAAAACCAGAAAGAAAAACTTTGGTTTATAAATAAAACTAAACTGAAGAGAAAAAGGGTCAAACTGGCGCAAATTATCTCATGAAAGAGGTATTTGCAGGGCATAATCCAGATCTACATCCCCCTGCCTTGTTTTACTGCTATCGCCTTCATTGCACAGGACTCAAAAAATCATTCTCATATGGTTGTTAAGTTTCATAAATAATGTGAAAACTGTATGCAACAAATACATCGTATTTCCAAAAAAATTATAAGAAAAGTTACATCAAATTAAAAAGTAGCTTCGTGAATGAAGGTACTGCTCTAAGTGCACTTTCCCTGCAAGTGCAGCCAGTGCCTCAGCGCTGGATATGAAGGAAAGAAAAAAACAAAACACAAATTTAAAAACCCAAGTCCAGTTTCAATCAGTCGAAACTGGGCCAAGCAGAAGCCGAGTGTATTCTCGGTGCTGTCCCATCAGAGAGTCCCTATGATGCTTGTTCTTCATCCAGATAGGGTTTTGTGTCCTTGTTGTGATTGTAAACAATTCTTAGATACTTCTTTCTTTAACTGTCCTCTGATTGGCAAAACGAAGTAAATATTTATTTTAAAAGTAGAAAATGAAAATTAAACCAGAAGAAAAGAAACACAGTGAGCTTGTTGGAGTCCATAGGATCCGGTCCGGAAGAGCTCGGAAAATGTGTTCAGTGTTTTCTCCTGTTTTCAGCTGGAACTGTACCAGAGGTTGGATTGGTCGGGGAAAGGGTAGTAGAGCAAGAAAACAAGGGATGTGGAAATAGACTCTGTGGACTATGTGTTTCATGTGTTTGCTTCGTCATCTGTGTCCTCTATCAATATCTTGGTGTCACGAGCCTTGGATCTGGGAAAAAACAAACAAGCAAACAAAAATACTCACTCACTGAGGGGAAGGAAGACATTACTACAATCTACAGATAAGATAAATACATTCTGTCAAACATATTCCCTACACAGGTAATATCTAGGCCAGCAGACTACTATAGACATGTGGTAATTCATACTCTCCCCTCCCCCCAGGATGAGAAGATTACCCTATAAAAATACAGAGGGATGACTGATATCTTTCTGCCTCTAATGCTCATCTTTCTGATACAGCTAAATTCTGGAGGTTAACAGCGCCCTCTACTGGTTAGTTACAATACAGCAAACAAAGGACACAAAATGTAAACAAATGTTTTGAGGCTGGGAGTGAAACTAGAATAACCTTTATCATAGGCACTGACTTTTGTGTTTTTGCTGGTGGGTGCTTTTGAAGAGATGTGTGTGTTGAAGAAGGGCACTCTGCCAGTTTTGGGGGGTGGCTATTTTCAGCATATTTATACATGTTTTTTCATATTCTAGTTATTGAATGTGTCTCTCATTGGTATCTTTAATAATGATTAAATTGTTATGAACTACACAATTACATTATCATGAATTACAGTATATTAAAATCATTGCAATCATCTACAAGCTGTCTCCACTAACATCCCAGTTTAAAGACATTATGTCTCACTGTAGCTTTCTGGATGAAACTGTCAGCAATCTTATTCACATCTAGTTGCCTGGTACTGTGTTGATACACATTAAGGACAGCCACATTATTCAGTTGAGTCTGTCCCATTGATGACTGGAGATAATTTTTAAGACTTCTGAAGCTGGAGAATGAGTTCAGGATAATACAGGCACAATGAGAAGGATTCTTATAAATTTGCAGTAGTCTGGAATCATAGTGCTTCCAGACCACTGCAAATGACTCCAAGATCTCTTTCTTGATGGGTAACTGCTAATTTAGGCACCATTTTGTATTTACAGTTGGGATTATATTTTGCCATGTGCATTACTTTGCATTTAATGTGGAATTTCATCTGCCATTTTGTTGCCAGTTTTGAGAGATCCCTTTGCAACTCTTTGCAGTCAGCTTTGGACTTACCTATCTTGAGTAATTTTGTATCATCTGCAAACTTTGCCACCTCACTGTTTATCCCTTTTTGCATATCATTTATGAATATGTTTAAAAGCACTGGTCCCAGAACAAGCCCCTCCGGGACACCACTATTTACCTCTCTCCAGTCTGAAAATGGACCACTGATTCCTACTCTTTGTTTCCTATCTTTTAACTGGAGTGCTTGGTAATGCTTTCAGGATCATCTAATAATTCTTAATTTAATTTAATGAGCCTTTTGTTATCTTAATCACCCTGCCTCTGTTTATAAACAAACTCCCTGCCCCAAGGGCAGAAGTTGTTAGCAGCACAGAACTCATCACATTCCACACTCAAGTTCTGGCTCCTGGGTGCTGAGCACCCACTATTTTTTTTTACGTTGGTGTTTGAGCCCAGAGCACCCAGAGTCAGTGCCTATGACCTTTATACAAGGAATTCTATTCCTACAGGTACTGTATACAGATACTCACACTAAACACTGCATACAGTTACATTCCTTAGGGTATATCTTCACGAGCAACGTTAAAGCGCTGTTGCAGCAGCACTTTAACGTGGCTGTGTAGTCGCGGCACCAGTGCTAGGAGAGAGCTTTCCCAGCGCTGTAAAACCCCCCCAAAAAAACACAAAACAAAAAAACACTCCCATGAAGAGAGTAGCTCCCAGCACTGGTGCACTGTCTACACTGCCACTTTACTGCGCTGAAACTTGCAGCACTCAGCGAGAAAGTTGCAGTGCTGTAAAGTGGCAGTGTAGACAAGGCCTTAGGGAATCAATCCTGCCCTCAGATGGTGGACATATGCTACTGTGCATATTTCTTGTTCAATCTGACACTGTGCTTCACACACACACACAGAGCTGTGGGGAAACAGAACAGGGGGGTCTTCTTTACTATAACAGCTTAAGCTATGAGTCACCACACTCCGACACGGACCCTCCCACAGAAGCCTGTTACACTGATAACCTTTGCCCAGAGCTGGAGCAGGCCTAAAAGCCTGAACCAAACTGCACAACATAATGTTCTTTTAATAAAACTAAATAGTAAGGAGGAAGTCTGCATAAAGTCTGTTGGTGAGCTAACTGCTTTAAAAATATGATAATCATAAGCTTTAGAGATATAAACCCGCAGTGTTACTGAAATATGATAACCGTTACTGAAATATAATAACCGCAAGATGCTAGGTGTTGAGACATTGGTCTGCAAAGAAATAATCATCCTTGCTGCTACTATTGTTTGCAATAATACTCTAATTCCAGCTATCTGCAAATCAGCCAATGATAGCTCTCTTTTAAGCGTCCCCCGAAAAACCCCCCTTAGCTCTTACCGAAATCCCCCGGAAAATGACATGTACCAAGTCTTAAGAAATGTACCCAAGCCAGAGTTGAGCACCACCCTCGCGGAAACCACCAAATGTCCCCATGCCCAATTACACCCACTTCTTGGAACATTAAGAAAGAGGGCGAGGGGAGGAGGGAAGAGTGACCCCAACCCAACGCCCCAGCTCATGATGAGCGCGTGTTCACCTAAAACCCGGCTTGTGATTCGTCCCCGAGCTCGTGTCCACTATATGCCCAGCTTATGATTGGTTCTTAATTTCTTAACTAATGACGTATTAATTGTATCATGCTTGTGGTTTTAGTAAATAAAAGCAGCCTGCGTGCTGCTGTTCGGGGTGCTAGCTTCCGAGCTACACCCCAGTGCGCACTGGTTCGTATTGCAATAAAGGCCTCAGGCTCTGAGTCTGTGAACTAAAATTACTGCGTGGGTGCTTCTTTCCACGACAGAGCTTACCTTATGACATACATGACATACCTTGCTTCACTGCATGTCTGAGGGATAAACTGTGCCTTAAATGTGTTTATCTAAACAGAACTCTGTACCTGACAAAAGTACACTTGGTTAGTCAACCTTACTGAACAAAGCACACTGCATCAATGCTACAGAGACTTGGTGTGAGAGGGTAAAAATGCCAATGTATTTATTTACTAGTTGGGTCAGTCCTCTCTTTTCAAACTATTTAGAGTTATGTCTCCAACATGGCACCTCAAACACTTATTAATAAATTAATCCCTTCAAATTTTGTTGTGCAAGAGGGTAAAGCAATACATACTGTGAAGAAAGATTAGGTCGGCGCAGGGACACGCTCAGGCTACGCTTCCACACCCTGTTCTTCTGGCGGTTTCGGACGCCATCTTCCTGGTCCATCATCTGCTCTAGTAGTGTCTGGTCATCAGCATTCATTGGTGCCACTGAGATGTCCCGGACAGCACGGAACTCGCCACAGTTGTTCAGATGCTCATTCTCCAGACGGAAGAAATTCCACACAAACCGCCTGGAAGGAGAGAGGGAAGGAGAAAAGGGAATAATATAAAAACTAAGTACCACTTTCACAGCTGTCACCAATTTTTGGCAAAGCAGTGATGCAGTCCCAAAGATGCTACTGCGTACACTTCCCTGGGATTACACATAGACCCTATGAGGGCAAGGCCCTGTAAATTGACAGGTTGGAGAGAAGTAAATGGTTGGGAAGGTGAATGACTAACAAGGAGCAACCTGCTACATTGCTTCACAGCAGTAGATTGATGGACTTCTCCAGGGAAGCAAACAGTTTTGGTGGAATCATTCATAGTTTTAACAGTGAGGATTACCCCTGCATGGCTGGTGTCAAGGTAGCCCAAGGATTATCAGTTAGGAGGAATAAATACAAATAACTCCTCCCCCCCCCCACACACACAGTGAGATTCAAAAGCAAGCTGTTTTGCTCATCTCAAGCAGACACGTGATTCCTGATGTAACACTAACATGCAGACAGCATTAATGCTCTGGAAGTGCCTGATCACAGTGAGAATTCCATTTTTTAATAATTTGCAAAAGCAGAAGAGATTTGGGAAAATTTGTAAATTTAGCCTTGAAGTGACATTTCAATAATTTTTACCAGTGAAAATGCTTAAAATGTGAGCTTGCTAAATTCCCCCAACAAACTCAGGTAAGACATTCCCCTAGCAAATACAACAGAGTGAGGTAGAACCCAGGTCTCAGGCCTACGTGTTTTCAGGGGTCTCTGAATCCCAGACAGGTCAGCGAAAGATTCCATAGCCCTCTTTCAGCCAGCAATTTGCTCAGATTTAGTGCATATTCTGAGTCTTGGCGCTCTGTGTTTTCATCACTTTATGGCTTTTCAAACAACAGCTCCATGAGCCTATGGAAAGCCAGGGACTTCCCCACCTTTCTGGTGTTATTGTTTGTAAAACAAAAGGAATAAACAAGCAGTTTGAAATACTGTTTAGCTGAGCCACCTTACCGGAAAACCTCAAGTGGTGCAAAGACAGTAGAGATGACGTCCCCGGCATAAGGAAAGACTTGCATGGAAGTGAGGGAGATCTGGATGGTCCAGGCAAAGCGCAGGATTACATCCTCCACAATGGCACAATAGTAATAGGCCTGAGGAGCAAAGAGTAACATAGGACAGGTCAGCTGACATGTTCAACACAGAGCAAGAATACCTGCCAAATGACCAAGGAGAAGCAGAGCCAATCCCATCACTAACTTTCACGTTTATTGGGATTAATTCTTCAATACCATTCAATACAACCACTGATGGCTATGGGCTTAATGCAGGGAAAATATAACACAGTGCCAAGTTTAACCTCTCTTCCATCTTCCTTCTCCAGACAGAAGACTCTGGGACCCTAAAATAAGCTTTTATAGTAAGGTAGAGATGATCACCAGAGCTAGACACAGGCCATATTAAGTATGATATATATGACTGTCAGTATTTAAGTCTCCCAGTTACCTAAGGCTTGTCTACACAAGAGATTTATACTGATTTAACTAAATTTGTTTTGAAACTAATTTAAATTAAATCAGTTCAGCCCTCTTGTGTGGAAACATTATCCACCAATTCCTGACCGATTTAACTTAAATCAATCTACAGCATTCTTAAGCTGAAATAAGCATCCACATAAGCGTTGCATTGACTTGAATAAATCAGTTTCTAAACCAATTTAGACAAGGGCAAACTTCCCCATATGAACCAGACCTACATTTATTTCTCTTGTTATTTATTGTTTTTACCCTGGTTCTCCTTCTGCAGCTAACGTTTGCATAGCAATTGTTTATTTACGTGTAAGAGACTTGTAAGAGTGTTTTTCACCAGGTTTTTAGTTTTATTGTACTTTTACTTGTTTTGATTTAAAACAAAACTGTCTCCAACCACAGATTCACCAGGTAGTGGAACAGGGAAATACTGAAAAGATTTCTTACAAATATAACACCTCAGAATTTCTTACATCAGGTTGCAATAGCTGCATGAGCACCTACAAAGACCAGATTAAAAAACAGATTTTTGGGAGTCCCTAAAGTGCTCATTTCAAAATTTAAGGAAAGGGCTTTAATTTTTTTTTTATTAGAAGTTTACAAATTTTTCTGAACCACTTCAAATCTTTTATTCCTTTATATTTTAAGATGTTCTTTAGACAAATTACATACAGGCCTTGATCCTCAACGTACCCAAGTACCTAATATAACGGCTGTATTCTACTTGTGGGATTACCTGCATATCACCCTTTGCTCTAACCACCTGTAATATTCAGGAATCATGGTGAAAGATCAACAGCTCTTTGTGGCGTTGCAAGAGCTGCTAATGTGGCCATGCCAATGCGTTTGCAGCTGACAGTGTAAAAACTCGGCAGCGTTTTCCCTGCTGCGGTCTCCGAAGGCTGGTTTAACTCCCAGCGCTCTACATCTGCAAGTGTAGCCATGCCCTCTGTCTTATCGAGGGCGGATAATTTATGAATTTACCCTGTATAAGCTTTATACAGAGTAAAACAGATTTGTTTGGGGTTTGGATCCCATTCAGAACTGGGTGTCTGGGTGTTGGAGACAGGTAACCTGCTGAGCTGTTTTCAAGTTAAGTCTGCAGCTTTGCGGGCATGGACCAGACCCTAGGTCTGTGTTGCAGCAGGCTAGCATGTCTGCCTCAATAAGACAGGGTTCTGGAAGTCCCAAGCTGGCAGGGATAACGGGCTCAGAGGTAATTTCAGCACATCAGGTGACAGTCCCAAGGGGGTCTTTCTGACTGAACCCGTCACAATGGATATTACTTTGCTATCTGTATTACTAAAATATAGTATATGCCTCTTACAGCTTTCAACATAGGCACTGGCTTCCTCTGGGCCTGGGCCCTGCCCCCAACTGCCTCCTTCCCCAAAGTCCCCACCCAGTTCCACCTCTTCCCACCCCTGCTCCACCCCAGACCTCGCCCCCCACTCCTTCTCCCAAGTGCCCACCCTGCCCCTTCCCGCCCATTTCCACCCCCTCCCCTGAGCATGCCCCCCCAGGCGCCTCCTACATGCCGCGAAACAGCTGACTGCGGCGGGCGGTAGGCGCTGGGAGGAAGGAGGAGAAGTTGATCGGTGGGGCTGCTGGCGGGCGGGAGGCACTGGGGGGGCAGGGGAGTGGAGAAGCTGGCTGCCAACGGGTGCTAAACACCAGTTAATTTTTTTCCCCATGAGTGCTCCAGTCCTGGGGCACCCAGAGAGTCAGCGCCTATGGCTTTCAATAATCGTAATAAGGATGGGACTTTCTCTTTGGTAATGGACAGATTATATAATCAGAACTTCTGACACACTGAATTTAAGACAGTCCAGTGGCCAGTCAGAATGTACCTTTAATCCAAAGTGTTTTGTTAAAACATTGGCAGACCCTCCCCAAAATGACAAAAGGCTGCGTACTCACTTTCTGTGGATAGACGATCTCTTCCCGAAGGAAGGTATTTTCACCAGCATTCTTGTCAAAGAGACCCCAGTCCATCTTCAGGTCCCAAATAAGGGTGTAGCAGGAGCTGATTAAATAGAAGACAATCCACAGGTAGAAGAACACTTGGGTGTCACTGTGGTTTTGAGCTGCAAGAGAGAAACAACAGCATGACGCTGCATAATTTTAAACATTTCTTATAGCAGCACCAACATTGTCCACCAAAACTCCGCATGACCGATGGTAGTTCCCCTTTTAACCAAGCTCCCTGTCCCACCAGGCTAAATAAACTCTCTGAAAGCCTTATCAGAGATACCTTTAAGTTACAGTTTGAATTCCTCCTCAAACTCACTTCAATATGTTGTGCTTGATATGGAAATAATTATTTAAATTTGCCTTATTTGGGAAACTTGCTAGTTTGTAGGCATATTTTTGTAAACGAGTTATTTCTCTCACTCCAGCATAGGACTGACTATATTGCTTCCTGCTGTATTCTCTTACCTTTTATATTTGTCACACTCTTAATACTTAGGGAAGAAAAAAAAATGTACTGTTTATTTTCTTTTTGAATTAGAACCTAAATTTGGGCCCATAAAGAGTTCATAAAAATAAAACATGTTATATTGGATTGTACAGCTGAGACTTTTGCCTCATCTTGCTATCAGGTGTCATTCTGCACAGTGACTGCAATTGCTTATTAATTGATTCTTTACTAACAAACCCAATAAAAATCTTCCCAATACAAAAGCGACTCTACAATAATATAACAAACTGTGGTGGTGCATTTTCCAGGTATGTGGCTTTAAAACAATAAAAATTCCTAGAGCTGCCTCCTGATCACAAAAACGGCAATAGCTCGATTTGTCCTCTTTCTTCTTTTCATTTTAATAATTATGATAGAAATGTAATGTGTATATATGTGAGGTAACAATAAAATTAATAGGGGTGAAAATGAGAGGCATAATGTAATAGTACATTCATTCCATTGTGCCTTTCAGACTTTTGGGAGATGATGTGCAGGATATAGGTCAAATACACACTCATCCTCTTTACAACACCCCCCCCTCCCCCCAACCTACCTATTAAAGCCTATCTGCAGTGGAGACTAAAATTAATAGCGCAAAAGTGATTTTCTTCAGTCTTTTGCTTAGACTAGCTTTCTTACTTTTTTGTAAAATAAGGAACATTTGTGTAGCATTTTTCATCTTCTGCCAACAAGGCTTTCCAGGAGAGACCAAGGGGCAGGTTTGGTAACATCCCCTCCTCACCACCATGGTCACTTCAGAATGTATCACAGGCTCCACTACTTGGAGGCATGCATAGAAAATTCCTCAACCTAGCAGATGTAGTGCCATGGTGCAACTAATCTTAGTGCTACATACCGCCTTCCCCTCTCCATGCTTCCAAAGTTTGATTCACCCCAGAGTCGGCAAATGGGTGAGCTTATAGTGCAGATTTCGAATGTTATGAACTAGAGCCCTGATCAACCTTTACATGGGAACAGTCCACATCAGAAGGGCTGCAAGCTCCCCCTTGGAGTTTCCATTGCATCATTCGAGAATGAGACAGAGTGACTTAAAACACCAAGATCTGTAGGGACCAGGGCCAAATATGCTGAGATTGTGCATTCAAACCGTTTCTCAGCTATGTTTAGTCCCCCCGCCCCAACTGGATACCAAGAGACAGCCCTATGCAAGGCTTCCCCACAGCTTTGGGGAGTTGAAAGTAGTAATGCTGTTGGGATGATTATTTATGCAGGTTTTTACCGTGTCACCAATTTAACCATAAATTGTTTTATTAAATCCAAAGGCCAAATGGTATTGCTATAAACATACCTAAAAACCTAAATAAGCTATTTACTACATCCATAACAAAACATTGATAAGTATTAGATCAAAATACTTACAAATGGGCTAAACTCAGGGATGCTTAGACCTATACTGACCAGCTCCAACTTGGTCAGGCAGGTATCAGCAATGAACCCTTTACAAGTTTAGTTTTTTAGCCCTTTAAGAAAGTGATGTCACTGCCAACTACTGACTTCAGCTAAAAAACAATTTGAGACAGTTCACCCTTATTTCCAGCCTTAATCCAGATAAGATTTATAACCTCCTTTCTCCCCAAGGCCTTTCCTTTCTATCTTTTTCCCTCCTTCTCATTGATCAACAGTTTTTCTGTTGCACCTGGGTTCACGTAGGCCCTAATTTTTGAGATAACATTGGTAGGTGGGTTGGGAAGGTCCATGTTAGCTCTTTTTAAGACAGATTCTCTTTGTCTTGTTTAAAACCATCTGCAGTCACCCCTATCAGTCAGAGGCCTTCTTTTTAGAAACTTCCCTTTATTTCATTAGCTATTCTTTGAACCAGACATCCTCCCTATTTCATTCCTTCTGGCCTTATAACTCATTACTTTCAAGGCCTTTCTTTTACTTGCTAATTAGGGCCTTTCTTTATAATACATCTTTCTTTAACCAAACTAAAGCTAACTTTTAATTCTCTAATTTTATATTTATTCTACAGATGCCATAGAGAAAACATTCTTCAGACAAGCCCTCTTTTCATATACAGAGCTTGAGCCATGCAGTGCACTTGCAGGATTACATCCATAAGATGCAAGGAAGGGAAGACAATGCCTCAGATATTCTGTACTCCCAAACTGTCTTTGGAACACTCTGCTCATGGAGGGGAATGATCTGGCCGTAGATTTCTATTTCTCAGAAACAACATATAGAATGGCAGCGAGTCAGTGAAGCTGGAGCTGATGAAACTGCACCTAAGTAGCCAGTTGCACAGCAAGGTGATGTCAAGTTTTAACGTTGCTTAAAGCTAAATTGCCTTAAGAAGAGTTATTGAGGTCAATTATTGTGAGAAAGGCAGTATAGGAGAGAATTCAATTAAAAACTCTTGGTGCATTATCCATCAAGCTAAAAGGGATGTGCTAATTTCCAGTTACTCATCCTGGAGTCTGTTCCCTTTTTCTCCTCACCCCTAGGAGTATTCTTTTCACTGGCACTTTGGGTCAAGCTGCATACTTTCCCCTCCCCCATTTTCTTTCTAAATCATTGATTGTGTAATGTGCTTTGCTCCTGAAAATTTCATTACAAATACAAATCATTCCCCAGTAACAGACTTCAAACAAAAACAGTCTATTGTATTCACTCTGCCTTTTGGTCTCTTCTCTTAATCACTTGTCCTTCTTTCCACCCCTATTTTTCTCTTCCCCACAATTCTGTTTGACACCCTCCTTCTTTCTCATTGGTATTCAGGTGGTGTAACCGAGAGATATTACCGATATAGGCAAGCAATTATATCTCAATCTCCACTGGCTAGTCCTAGTGGCCCTCTCAATGCTGCACGGAAGGTTGGAAAAAATCAAGGCATTGATATTCCGCCCAGAGCTTCCATCTACTACATGCCTGCCACTTTGGCAGAAATAATACATGCTGGATATATTTATAGTAATGTCAGGGTCTATTTAAACAAAAACAGTTTCACCCAGTGGTACTTCACATAATGAAGTGCTGGAAACTGCCAGAAAGCTGTTAGGAAGACAGAGATTCAGGAAGAGACAGTGTCCCTAGAACCTGCTCCCTCATCTCCTCACTTCTCCCGACAGTATGGAAAAGATGGATTCCATTATCTCCCTTGGACTGCCTGTATAATTAGGGGACTGCAGACCTTTTCTGGCCTGATGCAGCCTTCAATCAGCCCAAGGTAGGAACACATAAGGGACATAACTCTCCATCTGCCATATCTCAAACACGGGACACAGACAATGTAGGGAAAAGACTAAAAACAAGGGGCAAGAAGAAAATTAGTGCAGGAAGCTTAAAACAAAGACCAGGAGTGATCATCTTTTGGTGGAACACAGGTAGAATTTGGGTGCAATTTGGCTCCTATGGGACACAAAAAGGCAGCTCCGCTCACGCATCGCCCCTAAGGTCCACTGGAGAGAAGTAGCAGAACCTTCTCCCTACCCCCTTTGCTGCAGATCTCAGGAACTCTGCAGGACGGGGCATTTGAAGTTTCTGCGATGGAGTGGAGAAAAGGGCTCTCAGTCTCTAAATGTGAAAGGGGGATAGTGTGCTTTTACCAATTGAGAGGCCCTGTATATGATTTCTTCTAGAAATCAAAACTTCTGCTGCTTATCACCTACAGAAATACTGAAACCACCTTCAAGAGAGCTCAAAGATGGGAAGTGAGACCTGGAGAAGCAAAGTCAGGCAGCCTGGAGACACTTTGAATTAGAAGCTCTGGAGGGCAACAACACAGAGAGCATCCCATGACAACAATATGTTGCTCAAATATGCATGCTTGAATAGGAAAATGGCACAGGAAACGGTTTAGCATTTCAGCATATAAAGCTGTAGGCACATAATGCCTGCAACACTGAAACGCTGATTTCTATGGATCTTCACATTAGCAAAACTGCAACTTCTGTAAGGCCAAGGGTTGCCCAATCTCTCAGTGCTGTGTAGCAGCACTTGTGTTACCTGCCTCCTTTTGTTGTGGAAAGTTAAGGAAATGTATGTAAAAAACACACACACACACACACACACACACACACACACACACAAATCAGAAACACAAATATCCTGAAATCTAAAAGCACCTCAGGGGACACAGAATATCTGACTAGCATTTTGAGATAATAATAAAGTATCTGCAAATTATAACCCATTCTAAAAACAGACCCCCCTCCCTCCAAAAAAGGGCCATTTTCCACAGCAGAGCCGCACAATTAATATCACAGTGAATGTAGTTAATATTGACTTTGCTTTAGTGAATGTTATCTGTTTACCCTCCTGAATTATCTTGCAGAATGTAAACAACTATATTCTATTCAATGCAGCTAAAATCAATGCCAAGCGTTATTGAAGACCTGGCTCAGAGTACAATGGCCCTTGATAAGCATTCCTGGTGTGTTTGCTGCTGCAGCTAGTGTGGTTTCTGCTGATGGTGAAAGCTGTGATAAAAGCAACAAGAAGTCTGGGGTTATCAGAAAACCTTCTAAATCTAAGGTAAGCACTGCTGCATGGTATAAGACTGACAGGTGTAAGACTTCTGCCACTTGCTTGAATTAAAAGCCTTCAATCATCAAGTGGTGCCAAACTTGACCTGGCTTAAGTTTAAGGATAAGGCCTTTGTCT